TGAAAACATTCAAGTAGCTTTTAAGACGTATTTATCTAACTAAACCATATAATTAACCCTTGGTATATGTTATTCCGAATTCGATTGAAAATGCGCGTCGAAAAGACATACTAACCTACAGTAGCATTATCATATTATATTGTGTTTTGGACGTCCCGTCATGTTTTAATTCAATATTATTATGCCTTTACATTTGTGTATACAATAATATTTACACCGGTTTCTCTTCTTGTATTATTTTACGCTGCAAACTGCTAATCATCGGACCAAACGCCGTCACGTCTCACTCATTATGTTTACGCCGATAATAGCCTGTAGCTGCTCAACTCGGTAATAATACCAAGCGCTGTGTACGGATGTGTACACAAAAGAAAAACACCATCCATATACATATATATATATAAATATAATATATTATATGTACTCCATTGAGTCGTTTTAAGCTATTTTATTGTTAACGATTAGGCGAGTAATATTGGTTTTAAGGTGATGGTTTTTTTCTTTGTAACACATGTCAGATTATTATTCTAATCTCATAGTGGTATATAAGCGTACAGCAGACCAGGCTGTTTTTTCAGTTTTTATAATAATACATTGAATATTACAACAATATTACCCTGCATCTTTTGGCGTGTCCAAAACCTTTTTTAAAATTCAAATAAATCGGTTTCCATAAATTAGTAAAGAAACGTGTATACAAGAACGAGCAATGAAATAAAAACACTGTGCCAAATGTATGGAATACATTCTACACACCAGGCAACACTAAAATCCGTTGGAACAACCATAATTTTTTATATTTTTTCTCATAACGGTATTCGGATCGAATTATTTTTAATTTTCCTTCCGTCACCGGAACTCATGTCATGAATCTTTTTTCATTACTATTCGTATTCACTCACAAATAGTAGATGCACGGTAACGCTCTTGTGTTTGAAAATTTATTCATTCAAAATAACGGCCGTTAGTCTCGTGTACGAATTTTAATCGTCATACGACGTGCGTGTTGTTTCATGGATGATGAACCGCTATTACAGATAATGGCGAAACGGTATATATTGTCAATTACGATTGTCGCACATTAAGAAAATATTACAAGAAAGACTTGGATGTTATTTTCGTAACGCATATATTTTATTAAAATAATTTCTTCTAGTACCTTCACTACATTGCTTGTAATTATATTCCAGTTACTATCTACCGGCAGGATTCATTTTTCTTTACCGTAACATAACCATTAAACAATTTCGTTCTTCTTAGAGGATGAATCGGAAATGACTACGACGGGATTTATGAGAACCATTAACAGTTGCAGTTGGTGTTTTAAAAATATTACATTGTCCGAAAAATAATTTATTCTTAAGATACGGCACCGACAATAATATTTGTCCTCTGTGTTCACTCTGGGTATATATTCCCATGAATGAAACTTTTAAGTGAACAGTAATAATAATTGTTCTTGAATCACGCGTGACGCACGTTTATACGGACATTGCGGTTTGCGCGGATTCCTGCGGTCATTCGTGCTGCAGTCATTGAACTTGCAATGTTTTTGTTTCCCAGCAGTTTTTCTACATCAACGAAGCTAAATAATTTAGTAAGGATTACTTTTTTTTTACTATTTCTTCCTTTTATATAGATATATTTTTTTACTTCGGCTCATGACAAACGTGCGTGACCGACAACCAATTAGGAGCTTGTTCATCGTTAATCAGGATTACAAAAGAATATAACTCGTTCTAACCCCTCATCAAGCACTCGAACACTATCGAAGAGTTACATGGAATTTCGATTATTGTTTAAGATTTCGTTGGAGGTACTTTGACTCAAAATTAGATATAATATTGTATAACTGTCAAAGGAAGTTTAGATTAAAATATGATCATTTTTGATTTTGGATTTGATAAAATACATTTGTATGAGTTCAAATGCATTATAGATTTCAACCAAAATTCAATTGACTTTGTTTGATAAACGAGTTTAACTTGATTTAAATATAATTAGAAGCAATGTATTTATTTTTAGTTTAAAAATCTTTTACATTTTAACATTTTTTACCGAGAAAATATTTTGTTTGTTATAAATACTATAACATGTATGTTATTCCCTGTTACATATCACGGTGTTATGAGTGTCAAATTAGTTATGAAAATACTTATCAGTTTAATGTTTAAAATAACTAAGTAAGTATAAAATGTACAATGTGAACAAAATATTATTTAAAATAATTTTTATTGTTTAAAATTGTGACAAGGTATTCATAGAAATTAATAATATTCACTGTGTGATTCATAAATAAATTGACTTAAATATTTTTGCTTTGTTTCGTAGAGGTATAAAAAAAGTATAATGATGTTAAATTATCAAATAATTTTATAAATATTTTTTATATATCGATTTCAATTAATAATTTGACCAAATCGTTGATATTTAGTCAAATTTAAGCAAGAAATATTGACAGTAGAGTTGGCAAAATGTTTAAATGGAAGGGGCTAAACACATTTATTGGTAGGTTAGAGAGCAATTTTAGGTAAGAAAGGACTTCAGAATCCACCCTTCACCCCGTCTCCCTACCAACCAAGTTAATAAATATTTTTCCAATATTTAAAATAGTTTTAATATTATTTATTAAAATATAATTTGTAATAATAATAGTAAATTAATGGCGGACAGCTGCGGTAGCATTGTCACGACAAATAAAAGCAATTGTAATTATAAAATGATTGCGTTAGACTAGAGTCGCCACAACCTTCATGATAATTCCCAAAAAGATAGTGATAATCAGGGTAGAAGTAGTACGCTTATGTAGTAAAGACTATATAGACACCCATTATACGTCAACATTTAGTCAATACCAAAGTTTTAAAATACTTAAATACTAGTTTAGTATATACACATTAACACAACCCATGAAGGGAGAGGGGCTATATACCCCATAACTCCCCCTTGACTACGACACTGAATATAGTTTTAATAAAATATTTTTATAAATGTACAGACACATAAACATGAAACTATTATGGTGTTAAGTTAGGTGTGGATAAAAGTTTTACATATATGATATAGTATAAAATATATAACGATGAGTAAAAATAAAAATGTAACTCGAGGATAAACAAAAAAAATATGATTTATTTTCTGTTACGATTATTATCTATCAATAAGTTTGCTTATAACATTTGATTACTTATAAAGAGTTCAACACGCGGAACATTACGATAATATACTTGTTTAAATTTCGTATTGAGCTTCGATTCTATTGTATTCATTTTGATTATATTGGACTAATCATCTAAATCAATAGTGTGACGATTTGGAGTTTCTAAATTTGAGTATCTCTATTGTTATCTGGAACCTTCGCTCTAAACTACACGATTAGATTATTATACATAATCATCAATTCATTAGATTGTTATTGTATTTACGACTTTTTTTTTCAGATAATTTAGATCAGTTCTTAAATATATAGTGATATTGTGCAAAAATGAAAACGTTTTATTTAGGAAAAACAATCAATACATTAAAAATACATAACATAAAGAATATAGAATAAACTTATTATTATAATTATCTTGTTAAAGTAATTTAAATAATTTTATAAGTATATGTCGTGTACTATTTATTATTCCAGTGCGTATACTGAATATATCGTATTTACGTATTTATATTATTAATGAATATTACACCTATCCGAATTCACGAATATAACGTACTATGTAATTCTTAGTATTTGGAATAACGTCGTACGTGAACACAAGTTCTCGCGTTCACGTTCATATAATATTTTGTGAACGATTCGAGGACGTCACTCGCTTTTTTTTCAAAATAGAACGTGAATGTGAACTACGTATATATTTTTAATGAATTCAACGATTTTTGGTGCCATTTAAAAAATATATATATAATAAATAACAGTTATTGAGTATAATATGTTAGGTTGGTTATATGTATACGTTTTACACATTAAGTAAAATATACCTAATACATTTTGTAAAGGTACCATTTATACAGAATTTAAGATTCATAAATATAAAATAAAAATATTTAACTTATCGACCAAATGAACGCGTTCATTTTTCTTAGAACTTGAAAAAAAATAAACATAAACATCAAAGAGTTAGTTAAATTTTTAAGTGAACGTTCCGAACACTGGTAATTGTTCTACTTTACACACAGTGATACGTATAATACTTGTCAGACAATAATATTCTGAGCTACATGAATTTAAATGCATCAAAATCATATGTAAATGTATTAATCATTTAAGTTTTTATTAAGATTATAGGATTAACCGATATCCGCTCTTTGTGCCCTCCTAATACGTTTTTTCAAAAAGGATTTTTATAAAATTACCACCTGCGAGCCAAGGGCGGGTTTTATCACTCACCAAGGGAGGGACTAATGGAGGTTCAAGAATTTAGTTAGTTGTTAGTTGGTTGTTTTTTAAATCTATATAAAATTTTAAATTATAGAATATGTTTTTGAATCCCTCGTATATAAGTAATTTTTTCACAATAGTGACATATTTTAAATAGTTACATTATGGATATCAATTTTAAACCATTTTAAAAATATAGGTATGCACATATAATTAACAACAAAAATGAGCTATTTGTTTATAAAACACATATATAAAATAGGTAGGTACCCTGTTCATCAATGACCATTGACGATATCTTATAATAATTATTAATATATCAATATATCATAGTACTTGGCTTTGTAAAATAGTTAGCTAAGTCCCAAGGGGTGGGAGGGGGGTAATGCCCCCTTAGCCACCCCTTCGAACTCGCCTCTGCCGCGAACGTAGACGGGAAAAGCGTAGAATGAAAACGAATGGCAAGTATGAATCGTTAAAGATTAGCAAAGGTAGATGAAGTATAACCGTATCCGAAATCCATACATCATTTAAGGGTTGCGAGTGCACGGCATAAGGCAAAACGATGTATTAGAAAGCGAACACGGATCGAAAGGGCTAAAGCGATCGTTGCACACTGTACCTTGAACGACGGCGACCGGTGATCAGCGGCTGTGGCCACGGTCATGGTGGTGCGGCGGGCTTTCCGGCTGGACGTGTCGGCAGCGGTGCGCCGGTCGGGGAGTTGTTGCGCGAAAACGCACACGTGCGGGGTGTCGGTGTCGACGGGGCCGCGGTTACGAGCGGTGGTCGGCTGGACGACGGCAAGCGGTCATGGCACGTAACGCGCGCGTTTGGTGCCTACAGTACTGCAGCGTGCGCGTCGTGCTGCTGCTGATGGTGCTGCTGCTGTTCCGGTGTCGCGAGCGTGCTCTCCGTGCGATGGCCGACAGCGTATTGAAGAAGCGGTGGCCGCAGTGTGGGCGACGATGTAGCGATGAGACGGCGAGCGGTGCACAACACCGGGACCGCGTACCACAGGTGTGTTCGTTTTTCTATTTTTTTTTTTTTCCGCGTACGACGCGTAACACGGTGACGTGCTCACAGCGGTAAACGATGGCGGCGGCGGCGGCGGCGGCGACGTGTGTTTTCGACCGCGGTGTACGGAGACGAACGCGGCGCGCGCGGAGGAGTCAACGACCGGCTTGGACTTCGGATGGCTGGTGCTGGTGGTGTTCTGGCTGCGATCTGCTGCGCGGCGAAGCCGACGAACGCGCGATCGTGACCCCTACTTACCACGCCGCTGCTCTGGCCCACCCCACTCGAGCGGACCCGGCACCGCGCAGACCTGTACACGCCCCGTCGCCGCCGCCGCCGCCGACCGTGTTGCGGCACGACAACCGGTCTGGAGCGCGACGCGCGGCCGCGAGTCGGAGACAGCAGGTACGTCCGTCGCAGCCTCCGCGCCCTCGCGAGTCGTAAAACATGTAATTATCATCTCGTTACATTTTTACGTGTTACGATTGAACACAACATGTTCCGTTGCTCGGTTCTGTACTCGCAAGCGTAACGTAACAATCGTTGTCACGCGCAAGGGATGCACGCACGTGGAGTGGGACTAGAGCGCGGAGGAGCCCTGGGATTATTTTAAAGCCCTGTCGTTCGACATCACGCACATACCATGATCTATGAGACAATATAAAATGTATTTGAACGTTGTTACAATTTTTTTTTTTTTCAAACTTATTAGAATGTTATGTTAACATTGGACACGTTTCCCTACGTATATTAATTGCCAAAACCTGACAATGCGGTTCAGCGATCAACAGTTTTTATCTGATCATCATACAGTGATCAACGGTTTTATTTCGATACTGCAGCAGTACAAGATGTATAAGGTATACTTGAGTAATGATATCAAAAATGTTAATTTAGCAGTATGGCCTTTGAGTTTCGATTTTGTCCCGGGTAAAATTATATCTTGCTATCGCGCTTAATTTTGCAATGTGTGTATGCAAGATAATGGTCGTTTAAATAAAAATGTCGAATTATTTAATATGTGATGCGGTGAAACTTTTTTTCTTGTACCATCAGTAAAATAGGGTTGTTGTGATGCGTGGATGACGTCTTAAAAATCTTGTGAGCTAACATTAGGCACGCACGAGTAACTTAACCTAAAAATAATTGATTAAGTCCTTACAGGTAATAAATATTTCAGTAGACAGTATAATAGTTACTATTTAATATAAGTGTCTATTTCAGATTGATTTATAATCAGCCCAATAACAAAGATTAACGACAATACAGCGCTAATTGATTAAAATTGATAATCGAAGTATGTGTTCCCATTTACATAAGTGTATTAGTTACTTTAATGATAAATATTACAATACTTTAGCATTTATAACGTTATATAGATTATAGTATAAATGTTTTATATAAATTATTATAAATATAAATTGTTATTTAAATATATGTTAGTATAATCGATAACAATATCCAAGTTATGATTAAAATACACATTTACTGATTTAGGACTACAGCCGTGAAAAGTAATAATTTTTTTTTTTATATAACATATTAGTATTATGAATAATTACAATATATAATATTTGATTTATCTATTGTATTTTTACTTTATCCAAGCAATGTGGTAATTACGAATGTATTATCCGTTGCATATACGAGTGACTAAAATATCAATAATTTTTATATTTTTAATATGTATTTGTATTTTATTTGAAATCTTTTGATTAAATGTTTAAGGTATATTACTGATATGCACAGATGTAATTATTGTTTTGAAATTTTAGGACGAAGTAAAATAATCATGAAACAATGGACAACTAGTTGGTGAGTACTAAGAAAAACAATTTTATGGCTCATCCCATAAAATTGATCGATACTTCAACGTAGTCATTTATTGCATCCCTGTTACTGTTTCGAATTTTCCATCTTCCGAATAATGGAAGTGCCGTATTACTGTGACGAAATGCTCAAAAATGACTGTTCATCACATTTTCGGAATAAGTACAATTACGAAGCAAAAACACCTATTGCATGGGTGTACGTGACCGATGAGTTTTAGTGAGAAAAAAACAAGCAAGCATTTTAAAAACTTTTTTCATTGATATAGTTAAATTTTTATAAAAAAAATAAAGAATCGCTTACGGGTTTTTGTTTTTTTAATTTAATTTTTACACACTTTTAGATAAATTGTAAATTATTTTATAGAATAGGCGTAATACTTACAGGAAAAAACTTTCATTTATTTAGATAATATATTAATATTTGGTGTTTAAAATGAAATTTTTTTCTACCGCCTGTATGAAAAACATCAAATCGTGCGATCACCGATGTACCCTATATATCACTGTAGTTACACGGTTATAAATTCGAAACATAAATTATTATGTATTATTTTGTATATTTATATATAACTAATAAGTGAAAATATTTATAATAATTTATGGCTAAATAAGCGTTTTCTAATGTAGCTAAATGTTTTAACTAATTATTAATTTAATTTTGAAATACTTAAAAAACTTAATTTTATTTATTTTTTTATATAGAAATTCAAAAAACTTAAACAATTATCATAGCCTGTACTGTATTACAGAATATATTTTAAATCTGTTCTTTGTTTGATTATTATTTTTTTTTTTTGCTAGATGTCGATCAATTACATTTTAAAAATATAATTCACACTTAGAGTTCAGGGTCAATCCAGACCAGTTAGATTAGGTTTTTAAATAGTCATCCTAGAGGGCACAATGAATAAATGACTAATGGAACCAGCCGCCAAGACCCAATAATAAAACATTTTATAACTTAAAAAATAATTTATCAATAACTTATTTAATAGTATTTGTTTTTTTTTTTTATACAATTCAGTCTGATACTGATGGAATAAATTGAATTACACTTCCGAAGTATTTTATATAATAACATAAAAAATATCAGTACTAAACATAATTTTTAATTTTTAGTGTCAAGGTTGTCAGATAAGTGTGGAATGTGGATTATTTTTTCTAAAAAATGATTTTGATCTTTTCACTAAACACCAAAGTGCCCACAACAAGTAATTATTAAGATCCATATAATATTAGGATCCAGAAAATACTCTTTCAGTTTCATCGTATCTAATTTTACATCTAAGAAACCAAGAAAATAAAATCAGATTAGTTCATTGTGCCCACACGAGTTAATAGTTATTATTAATTATTATCATTATCGTGAACTGTGAATTTGCAAATGGATATATTCAAACAAACATTAAAAATAGCAAGGTAGAAATCTGATTCAAACCATATGTATGTAATTTAATTTTACAAATTTCTATATTCTTGTAATTAGTAAATTTGAATGAATATATAATCACATTTATGTCTATTGCTTTTATAGCAATTTTATTAACACTGAATTTATTGCCATACAATTATTATTTAGATATATTCTTGAAGAACTAGATTTTGAAAATACTTAATATTAATTATTTTACTAAAAATATTTAACAAGTATTTTACTAATCATCCTCTATAAATAAAATGTTGAGTTTAGTGAATTTAAATTTTATTTTGCATTTGTTCCTGCATGATCCAATTTAAGGTACATATGTGATTATTTATCATTTTTTTAGCATATTTGCTAAATTTTAGCACATAAAATCATGCGAAATTCACGTTCTTTTATTTTTTAATTCTTTTAATATATTATACCATATCCAGAAATATTAAACAAAAAAAAACCTTTAGAGAATAAACAATTATTCAAGACATTTAACATTACATATTAATATTAATTGTATATTTTTCCAAACAAATTTACTAATATTTGATCTATGAATCTACTATATACTATTTCATTATCTATTTCTTGAAGGGTAAAACAAAATGCTAAAAACTAAATAATCATAGTACTTATATGTGAATTACTTTATTTGTAGGTACAGTAATGTATACTAACTACTACAATATACTATTATTAAATATATGAAAGCGTTATAAAGTGCTAATAGACAAACGACAATTTATTGTTTTTATTATGGAATTATTTCTAGCTACATAAACATAGAAAACAAAATAGAAAAATATAATAGCCAAATTATTTTAAATAAATAAATAATAATGATATACAGAAACAAAAAAAGGGCAAGACTCTTAAGTTGATCGATGTAATTAGAATCAGATTTTTTAATAAGGTTGGTTGAATTTTTATAACAATTAACATCTACGTAGAAATCCACAAAAAAAAATGAAATTGGGAAAATCGACAGTTTGAAATGGCTATAAAAGACTCTAATTTTATTAAAATATTTCGAATTTATGAAATGTCTTTAACTCTATAAAAAATATCATATCATTTGTATCCGATCTCGACAAAATTTAATTTTAAACGTACGTAAAACTTTTTTTGTGCATTTTCAATAATATACTTGTTTTTATTATTTTTTATTGCTTCAAGGAAAATCATTTAAAAAAACTTGTACCCAGTTTCGAAATTTCAAAAAATTTAAAAATGCTATAAATATTTGACTACAAAAATGTAATGGATTTTCGTCAATAATTTTGTCAAAATTCAATACTTACACAATCGTATGTTTTTTATTTTCAATTTAGCTCAATTTTTTTCGTATAAGGGACTTTAAAATTACTTTTCAAGACTTTTTGTCAAACCAAATTAATTTTTTCTATAATTTTACAAAAAATTTATGAAAACTTATTATAAGTTTAAAAATAATATTTTTTAAATATAACCATGTATAAAAAAATGATAATATAAGTATTCATTAAACATTTCATGCTCCTAGGATTAATATTTTTTGAGTTGCCTATGTTAAAACTAAAAATTAGATTGTCGAAAATTATTTCACTAATATTTATATTCCCACCTTTTTTATGGTGGATTTTTACGTTATATGATCTTACAAGATTTTTAAAAATTTCAAAAATTTGTTACCAATTATTTGGTTTTCTATTGATCTCAATAAAATTATGTTATAATCAATATGCGTGATATTAAATTAACAATAGTTTTGAAACGAAAATTCTCAGTAAGGGCAATGGTCTCTTAGTCCCCCCCCTCCCTATGGGCGCGCATGCCCATGAGTGTGCTTTGGTCTCTGTTGACTTTTTATATTTGGCCTTAATCTTTCCCGGCCCCAAGATCGCTGTCTTCGCGTTCATAATATTATTTAGATTACTTATCATAGTTGTCTTACCGACCGCCGGAATCAGGACATTCGTAGAAGCCGTATCATGAACGCCCATTAAAGTCATATATGTAGATACTGGGTACAATGAAATATGAAGAAATAAGCAATAAAAATAGTAGTACACACGTAGTTAGTGTATGTGTATTTATAAATAGTTTATACGGCACTGAGCCACAAAGGTTGAGTAGAATATTTACTAAAGGAAGAGCACAAATGGTAAATACAATCAAATGTATAATATTTACTACAATGTAGTGTTATATTACTAATGCATATTTAAATTGCATCCATCCTATGAACATAACTGAGCATTATACGTTCCTGAATTTCGATTTTAGCAAATCGGCAAGAGAATAACAGTCGGAGATGTAACGTATGTATACATATATAATTAATAAATACCTTCCTTTAAAACAAAATATTAGGTTTAGATATACTGTGTTAGAAGGCCATGTCAACCTACATGATTATATGGTACAATACCATGTCATGAATTTAAAAGAAAGAAAGAACTTATCGCAGGTATTATACTTTCTAAATTCTAAATTAATATATGTAATATTTTATTTCATTAGAAAACAATTGTGATAATCGCTTTTATTATTAATTTGTTCATTTAATTATTTTCACATTTAAACTATATAAATTAATTTACCATAAATCAAAAAAAATTGGTTCTTTTTACACTATATATACCTATAAATAAAAGAAGGGAAATTTTTACTTAAAATTTAGTTACACTACCCTCATGCACAAATTTAACAACAAATCAGGATTTTTTCAAAATATGTTTATATAGTTTATTAACAATAATAAGTAAAACAATACTAAATGTAAACATATTTTTTAGTGATTAAATATTAATTCGTACATAATTTTCTTATGAACTTTAAATAATTGTTGAAGCTTTGTTTTTTTATGTTGATTTATAAAGAAATAAAAATGTATTACCTATTGAAATTAAAACGAAAAACTTTTTTAATTGTAGATACTTATCAAATATTCAGTATAGACTGGTGCTACGGAAATCCGTATCTAATGACTAATCATTATAAGTAAAGCTTGAAATACTCTATCAATAATTTAAATGTATTAAATTAATATTTACTATCGATGTAATATCTAAGCGTTCATCTTGGTTGTAGAAATTTAACCGATTAGGTACAGTAAAAGGTGTTTGGCTCAGTTCTTCTGTACAATATATAAGGGTAAGTATAGCATTAGGTAGAATAAAAATAAACAATTATATGATGTAGTTCAATTGTATTACATGATGTTAAATAAACAAACAATTTTTAATTTTAATTTAATTTTAATATACAGTGTTATATAATATTAATATTATTAATATTCTTGAAACATTTAGTAGTTTAAATTGTAAAACTCTTATATGATGAGATATTTAATATACAGAATATTTTAAGATTCTTTAGCAAGTGTGAAAATGTTTAATATTAAAACTACTAAATCATATAATATATGTATGTATATACAATGTTTATAAAAAATAGTTAAACAGACCAATAGAAATAGAAGATTAGCTTAATCAGTCTTCACCAAATTCAAATTGGAATAGACTTTATTCATATAAACTGATGTCCATTTCTTAAGTTAAATAAATATTTTAAGGAGAAATACACTACAATACATACTATATGAGTATAATATTTTACGATGATTTTTTGATAATGCATTTGTTTTTAAATAATATGCATTTACATAGAAAATTATTGAAATCAATTATAAATTTAAGACAAAAAAAATGGTTTTTGGAAAATTTGTTATAAGTTAATTCATCACAAAAAAAGTGTACGTACATCATCTTTGTTAAATATATGTATAAAATAGGTAATAAAACAAAAGATAAATCTAAACATGTTTTAAAACTAACAAATACTTTAGATATTTAAGAACAATAATTATTATTAATTGAAAATGTAATAAAATCAGATCTAAATCATAAACAGTTATAATCATACAAAACAAGACGAGAGAAATTGATTAAATAGTAATATTACAGCACAACCGTGTAGTTTAATGAAAAATTAAAAAATATAAAAATAAAAACAAAATAATTAATAAAATAATATTATAGGTAACATTAATCAGTCATCATAAGGCATATAAAAAAAAAAAAAAAAACTTTATTTTAGAATAATGGTTAATTTTTTTTTTAGAGATCATTGTTATTAGTTTCTATTCCAATTCTATTGTGGATAAATTATTCTTTTTTATAATATTAAGGTAATTTCTGTGTATATATTTGAATATATTTTATTTTTAAAATAATTTAAATTTATTTACATCTTTCTATGTTCACAACTCTATTGTATAGTAGATGTTTCATCACTGTAGTCCTTTATTTCGAAATTTTTTACATCCGATTCTACAATGCAGTCATCATCATAATCTATAACCATATTTTGATCATATGAATCATATGAATTTTCATCAATTAGTATTTGTGTTTCCATTTGACTTTGTTTTTGATTTAATTTATAAAGACTGTGCCTTTGAGCTGCTTCTGCAAACTTTAGGTTACATTTAGTCATGTTATTCTTAAATCTTAGGTATATGGTTGACGGTTCTAATTCATTATTTAACTCTTTGGCAATAGCTGTCCATACAGGACTTTCACTATTTGCAACTAAGTCATTGTGGAATATATCACTTTTATGTTTATAAATAGCATCATAAAATACATCTTCATTCATAATTAATGGTTGATTATAGTTTTTTCCATTCACTCTAGAAATATGTTCTGATATTAAATTTTTTTTCCACAACGATTCTTTAGATTTCATAACCTGAATTCGATTTTGAATAACTGAAGAAGGCTCGTTGTTCCAATCAGCTAAACACTTTTTTATTAGTTTTGTTCGGCAGGAATCAATGTTTTGACGAAACTTCCAAAATGCTTCATCAGGTGTGAGTAAATTGTTCATTAAATTTGAAACATCTAACCAAACTGGACTAGATTCCATGGCAAAAGAACCATTATTAATAATGGAGTGCTTAAAGATTGATATTGCATCAAAAAACATTTCATTCTCAATACTTTGATCGTCGATAGAATATGATTCTTCGTCTTGATCATAAGAAAGCTCGTTTAATTGAAAAACTCCAAATAATTTCCCTTGACAATTATGAGTATTACGTTTGAATCTTAAATAAGCTGTTTTGGATTTGATTGCATAATTAAGATACTTTGATATATCATTCCAAACTTTATCAGTTGATGGCACTATACAGTTATTTTTCACTAATCTGTCTTTGAATACTAAACAAGCTTCAATAAAGTCATTTTCTTGTACATAGCCAACTTTTTGCCTCATGTACACTAAATCTTCAAAAGTAGTATCTATGTCACCTTTTATGTAGTCATGATCCATCTGAGAAGTTATTTTTGATGAAATCTGAGATACGGCTAACTCATTTTTATCTAATTCACAAGCTTCTAACAGTTTTTGTTGGCAATTATGTCTATTTAACATAAAATTATTATAAAGAGTTAATGGTTTTACCAAAAAATTTAATTTGGAAGCAATTTCTCTCCAAATTGGATCACTGGGCTTAGCATGTGATCCATTTTTTAATATAGAATCTTTATGACTTATAATAATATCTAAAAACTTATCTTTATCAACACCTTGAGAGCGACTCCAATCCTTTTTTGATGATTTCAATAACTTTGTACGGCAACCATCAATATCCTTGATAAATCTTGAATAAATTTCTTTGGGTGTTAATGCAAAATTAAGTTTTTCGCTAATTTTTATCCAAACTTCATCGTTAATATTTGCAATTGAATTATTGCTTATAACTAATTGACGATATGCAAATATTGCTTCAAACAATCGATTTTTATGAACTGGCTTAACACCGAAAATTCGTGTTCGGCAATTTTTATAATCATTAATGACACGTGAATAAACTTCATCTGAACTCAAATCTTTCAAACGACAAGATATTTGTTTCCATATAGGGTCATCTTTTAAAGCCATTTGTCCATTGGGCTGTAAAATAGAATCTTTAAATTCATTTATAATTTCATTAAAATCATAAATGGGTTCATTAGAAATATTACATTCAACTATTGGAGTGTATTCATTTATATTTTCGGATATCTCCGGATTTTCACCAGAAAACACACTTCGCTCAGTTTTAAGGGCTTGAATCATTTTTGTTTTGCACAAATCTTTATCATTATAAATTATATCATAAATAGCTTCAGGAGATAACACAGAGTTTAATTGAAGAGAAATCTCATTCCAAACTGGATCATTTAAATCAACAACTACGTCACCATTCATTATCGAATATTTATACAAGCATATAGTTTCAAAAAACTTGTCTTTATTAATAATATCTTTATAAGTATGGTCTGTTAATAATTCAGGCTTCAGAAGTCTATTTAAGCATAGTTGAGAATTTCGAGTCACCCTAAAATAAACAGTAGCTGGTTTTAAAGTGTCATTAAGATCTTTTGATATTTGAGTCCATACAGGATGAGAAAATTTAGCTATTTCACTTCCATTCTGTAGAATATCATCACGATACCTACATAATATATTAAAAAAAACTTCATCGGACACACAATTGGGTTTGTTAAATTTGGGTACAACTAATGGAGTAAAATTTTCATCTTCTTTACATGCTTCAATAAGTTTAGTTTGGCATAAGTCATGGTTACGAATAAATTTTGAATGGACATCAGATGGTTGTAATGCATAATCCAACATTTTTGCTACTTCATTCCAAACCGAATTATTGTATCTTGCTATTGAACCATTCTGTATAATCATATGCCTATGAGAATACAAAGCTTTAAAAAATTTGGAAGAATCTTCAAATTTTAAACTTTTCTTCTTTATTTTATTAAATGGTTTTTCTACAGGTGATGCCAACTTTCGACTTGGGACATCATAGGTCTTAGCCTTTGAAGGGTCAAGTTTACAATGAGCAAGTAATTTTTTATGACAGTTGTGAGTATTTCGTTTCAATCTTAAATAAATACTATTCGGTTTTAAAGCATGATTTAAATGCGCCGAAATTTGGTTCCAAACAGAGTCAACACTTGGTGCTACTTGTCCATTCCTTAAAACCTTATCTTTAAATACAAATAAAGCATCATAAAAGGTTTGATTATCTACATGACCTGGTCTTTTTTCAACAATTTCATGATGCATATCAGTTTTCATCATATGATTTAATATAGATATATCTGTGGTTTGGCTTTTAGGATCTTTTAAATATGCTTCAATTAATCTTGTTCTACAGGAATGTTTATTTAAAATAAAGCGATTGTAAATACTTTTCGGCTTAAGTATATTATCTAATTTCGAAGCAACATGTTCCCAAATAGGGTCAGAAGAACCAACAATGCGACCATCTTTAACGATTTGATGCATAAAATCGAGAAGTGTACTAAAAAATGTTTCTCGAAACATTTTCTTTTCACCTTTATTCATTGAAAAATATTTTGAAGTAGATTCGCGCTCGATGTAATCATCTGGATTTGATTTAGGTTGAATCTGGTTTTGATTTAATTTAAACATAAAATGATTGGAAGGTAACAATATGCCAGACACGGGTTGGCCTTCAGAATTATTAATCAGCAATAATTGGTTTGGTTGGACGGATGATGTAGATGGCATAGTTAATAATGTGTTTTCTGATAACTTTGGCAATGTAGAAGAATTTATGAGTTTAGAAGTTGATTGATTTTTAAACGTATTCATTTCTCCCACAGTTTTACAAATGGTTATGACAGACATTTTTAATCTGAAACATAAAAAATTAACATCCTATTAGTTTCTATTATTATTTATTTTATATCTTTAGTATTATGTACTAAAGTATTTATGAACGAAATTAAACAATAAATTCTGTTTTAAACATTTGGAAAATAATAAATATAAATAATTGTAGTAAATATCAAATATTAACATTTATACATTATACGCAATGCTTGACTTGGCAAAATTTAAGAAAGATTACTCTGTTTACTCTAAAAAAAAATAACATCCCCAAGGCTTTTCATCATTATAATTATAACGTAATAATAGTAAGGGGACGCTAAAATTTCTGAAAATTAGTTGGAGTACTCCACCCTACCACCAAGTCAAGCACTGTTTATACGTACACGTTTTATTATACTGATTAATCTAAATTTGTATTATTGACAATTTTGTATAGATATAGATTTAACCACAGACAATTTGATGAATATAGTTTGTGATTTGATTTGTTTAACTTATTGAATAATGTCGATGGTCGGTATTGCAGAAAACAAAATATACATAATAATACAAAGAATATACATAAACAAAAAACGATTTTAAAATATGTTAACAGTTACCAGTTGAAGATTTACATAAAGTCTATGATCAACATTTTTAAGCCGTTGAAAGTTAATATAAAAATTGATTTTCTAATAGCTTTAACCACTAAAATTTTTTGTAAATATTTTAGTAATTGTATTGGTTAATATATATTACATTATATAACGATAATTTTTTTTATAATGCTTAAAACTAAAATTAAATTATAGTTAGTTAACTATAATAAAGAAATGTTTTGATTTAAATTTCAAAATATTTATACAAATTTAATTGAAACAAAAAGTAATGTTACTCCATTTTTTTTTTTATTTATTTATTTATTTATTTTTTTTTTGTATAAACCACATAATTTGGTTTGTTGAGTAATTGACAGATTACTTTAATATACAATTAACACTTTTAAAAAACTCAAGCTTCTATTTAAAATTTAAATTTTTAGAATTTTTTTATGTTACATTTGATATCGAAAATCGTATCTAACAGAAATTATAGTACTTTAAATTTTTAGTTTATTTATGAAAAAATGATGGAAAGTTCGTATTACAAGATGGCTTAGAACATTTTAATTTGTTTCAAGCCTTCTTCAGTCATAATTTTTAGATTAAGTCGGTTCATAACTGGAAAATAGTCATGGTGGATGATTAATTTTTAATATAAACGATACGAAATTAAACACGTTCAATTTCATTCATTTCACAAAAAATAAAATTATAGATTCTACCACATTCAATTTTTATTAAGAAATTTCAAATATATATAGATGAAAACTTTGTCACCAAACATTTAAGTGCGAATTTATCTATTCTAGAAATAACATACAATAATCAATAACAATTAATTTAAATTACATTTTTACTATTGTATTTTAATGCGTATAGTATACTAGACAATATAAAATAAGATTTTTCCAGTATACCAATTCCTTTCAAACAAGCAATACTTCCTCAAATAAATCGAAATGTTAATACAAAATACAAATGAATAACTGAAGCTGAAAAAAATGCACAAAACAACATTTTTAGCGTCATCCGATATATCGTTATATGGTCATGAAAATGTAGACGGATTTTATCAACTAAGTGACGCGAAAAGTACTTAGAAACCGATTCAAATTATTCGTTTCTATACTCGAGAATGACGTAGGCATATCTATCTTAATTTATAATTCGTTTGTCAATATATACAATTCTATCAAAATTGAATATTTGCGAATATGTCATTTTATGGATCCGATGTGTACTATTTTGTCGTGATTTACGATGAGGAAAAGGAATTGTAAACATGAAATCATGATCTTAAGTATTGATGATGGTAACGAATTTTCTAACTCCGTATCGCATTATATTTATAGTACCTACATGTTGAACGTATAAATATGTGTTACGAACACTTTATGGCAACAAATCGTGGTTTCCTATTTCTAAAAGCTCGAATATGTTTTCCAGATGATGAACGGGGAGGAAAGATAAAACGTGAATAGTAAATATTATTAAAATCGCTTTTACGCATAGGCGCAACTACGGCTTAAATTGGGGGGAGGGGGCGAAAAGTACCGAGATAACACAGATCCGTAAAGGCTACGCCCTCATACCCCTAACTTCTAATTTACATACAGACGAAATTTGTCATTACTCCTTATTATAGGTTAGCAAAAAGATGAAATGAAGATAAGAAAATGAAAAATACGATTTTATAATTCAAATTTAGATATTTGATACTCCTAAGTAAAGCTAAAGTCAGAATATGCTGAATAACGAAATTGTGAAACTTAATAATTATTTCGTGTACTGAGATTCTAGACATTGATTATTAGATTTTATCTCAAACACGAATTTCTGAGATTCATTATTTTTATTCTGAGAAAGAGCTATTATAACATTTAAAGAGCTAAGTCCCCCGAGTCTCCCTAGTTGTGCTAATAAACTTCTGTGGCATCACGACGGAGTTCGTTCACGATAATAATATAATTATACGTAGGTACATAATGTATACCCTACACGTGTTCCCATCAGTTAACGCATATACGTTACTATGTTCGTATAAACACTGTGTACGCACTGAAAGACAAAAAATTAAATCGTATTAACGCTGCACAGCACACGTTAGCTATATTTAAACACGAATTACAGCTCGACACACGTAAATTAATCCGGCGCCTTCAGGGTTACCGATTTGTCTCGTCTACTACTAATCTGTTCATTACTTAAATATACATATGTACTACGATATCGTGCATAAACGAGGAAGACAGTTTTCCGAACGATCCGTAGTTTCCTCGTCATCACCGTAGTGCGAGTGGAGTGCCGCAATTATAATATTTACTATGTCCATGATCGTCTTCTTACCTTTTACATGTTCCGTTTTTCACTTAACCGCTCGGGACGTAACTGTCGACTGCGACAAACTCACGCGCAGCAACCGACCGGACGATTACGACGCAACATTCGTGCCGGTACTGCAGCGTCGACGGCTGACTTCTTCCGGTACGAACCGGAACGACGAACGGGACCGGAGTGAGACCGTGGTCGATTCGGCGGCCAGAAAACCCCCTCGCTCTCGCCCCACACGGTCCACACCGCCGTCGACACTAACACTACCACGGTCGAACGGCAGCGTGTGGGCGAATCAATAACGGCGTACGCACAAGTACTGAATCAATCCGCCGCCGCCGCTGCAGGGACAAAGCCGAAAGCTCGCGAGCGCGGGATGCACAGCAGTTGCTGCTGCTGCAACGAAGAAATTATTATTATACTCGAGTTCTCTCGCCGCCACGCAGTACCGCCAACATTCGGGTGTAGATCATTTTACAACGCGCCTCCGACGCTATTACCAGGGATTGATAATATTGCCTATTCCATAGATTGTATACTATACATTGGGGATGGACAACCCAAAGTAACTAAAGTAAACTCAAAAAGTTTACTCAAAGTAAACTTCTAAATGCGAAGCCGTGGTTTAATTAGAACAATTTATCAATTAATAGAGCGAAATACCAAAAATGAATAACAAATTATTTTTTTACTGTATATAGTAAATAATGCATATTTAGATATAAAAAACTTATAATATCACTGTCTCTTTTTTCGTTTTTTATTTGATTTATAATGTTCTACAAATTTATCGATTTTCGCTTGCCGCCTAACTTAGCAATGTTAATGAAAAATAGTGTAAAATTAGTTAACATAAAAACCTCAAGGTTATCGTTAAAATAGTCATCTCGAACAATTTATACTTACAATTTATTTATTTGAACCTATTCCATATAGATTTTGAAAAAACATTTTACAACTACCTGTACCTAGAACATTACGAAGAATTACACAGAAAATTGAAATAGGGATAGGATTAAATAATATTTTATTTAATTATATGGAACTAAAATTCAAAATTTTGAAAGAGGAAGCAAACTACTGTATTCTATGTGTAAATTAAATATTCATTAAAACAAATTAAGTTTAGTAATTTATCAAAAGACTGCATTATTAATTTCAGTTTTTACTTAAAACAAAGAGTTATGAACCTGCAAAATATATTCTTCGAAGTTTGAAATACAAGTGGAAACAACCAGTAGTACACTATTTCATTAATAACAGTTATAAAGGTCTTCCCTTACAGAAAATAATTTTTGCTGTAATTTATAAACTGCATAGTTTTTAGTTGATATTAAAATTTTTACTATTGATCAGGAAGCAAATTTATGTAATTTTGCTAATATGATGTATGTGTCAAGTGAACGTCCTTATTTTTTTTGTGAATGGTTCAAAAATATTCTATTTATTTGATTCGTCAAATTTTTTAGTCAATAAGAAACATTTATTTTAAATATTTTCTTGAAGTTTCAAATAATATAACAGATAAAAAAAATACCTAAACTATTTTACTATTTTTACAATGCTCACCAAGGTATAAATTGCTATACACCTAGGCTTACACATCACTCTAGGAGCATTCCAAGAAATAAAAGGAACTTATGCGTCTCAAGTTTTCAGTGCTAAAGTAACAGCAGGTATGCGTAGCTATGTTTAATACGGTAATTTAACTCGGGCTACTGAAACTACTGTCAATTTCATTGAATGTATGGGTAAATTATTTAATATATTATACTCCATAAAAAATTCAGTAAATAAAGAATAAACCTGTCATTCAAAAATTGTATTAACCAAAGAAACCATTAAATCGTGATTTTGGGTATTTTTAATGATATGAGTTGTAATTTTGTCTTTGATATGAAATCGTTGATTTTTGTATATAAATCATATTAATAATTCAGTGATTCTACTTTTCTGACAATTTGTCAGGATTCGACCCTTGTCCGACTGATATAATAATATAATAGACTTATATGAGCACACCTATATAATTATAATGAACGACTATACACCTGAGTTATTAAATATCAGAAATGTATACATTTAAATTAATGGAGCTGAGATGGGTTAAAATACAATATATTATGACAATTTTGTAAGTTTAACTTTACTATTTATTATCGTGTTCATTATTAAGTTTTTAATAATAATGAATTATAATTATAAACCAAAACACTATTTATCTGTACAGATAAAACTGTACTATCGAATCGCTCATTTTTAACTGAACATGTGTGGCTCTCTTAAATAATGTCAAGTCCTGTGGAGCTAAGTCACGACGGTGTGCGTAATTTTAAGGTAGACTCAAGCTAATGATGTAAATCAATAAGCGATGACGACCCGTTATCTGAAGCCCTGCTTAACGACATTTCCAGTTGGCAGGTATATTGCCCATTTTCTTAAAAAAAAAAAAAAAATAATAAAAGCAGACTTAAAAGTCCCACATACGTTCAGTTTAACTGTGCAGTTTATCACGTTTGACGTCATGTCTGAGCGATTAATTGCGGTAACTGTGCAGTTCTGGTAAATTTTTACTCAAGTTTTTGACCTGTTTAATAAGTTCTACTTTGTATCAATAAACTATTCAGTTAGCTCAGGGAATCACACAGTGGCATATTTAGACTTACATCTAGGGGGGGGGGAACTCAAATTTTTCTTTAATCAGGCTCAAAATTTACAAGTAAAATTTTTGGTAATATTTAAATCAGTTGAGTCCTTAATATTTGTGGTTTTTTTTAATAATTTAATCCACTAAGAATTGACTTTTGTATAGTTCTTTTTTAACACCTGTCTGTGTTTTGAAAGTTACGCTTATGTTTTATTTGATTTTTCACTAAATATCGTTATAAAATGATACATATTAAAAAAATTTGAAATGTGTATCTCACATAATATATGATATTATGATCGATTCCTTAAATACGGATTCAGGGGGCACGATTTCCTCCTTCGCCCCTCTAAAATAAGCCCTTGGAATCACACAGTTCACACAGTTTTGTCTCACTTCTAGTAGTGAGTAACTCACGCATCACATAAAAAATCTGCTTTTATATTTCGGTCACCCATCATTAAAAACACGAACTGTACACTGTGATAACCGAACGATTTCCGTACTATACTGAACTAGAAAACTGAGAGAACTGTGGATATATCTAAGAAAAAAACTTCGAGTAGTTTACACGCCTTCAGTTCAGATAACTGTAAAATTTATATTCAGTTATTTATACAGATAAACTACTCAGTAAAACTAATCGTGTGTGGGGCCCTTTAAGCTTAAACAACGTTTAAAAAGTAATATTTATAAAGTGCGATTGTAATTTCTTCAATTTAATAAATCTATAAAAAGTTGTTGTTTATTTAATTTGTAATTCGCTCGACTTCACATATTTATTCACTCTGTGGAATTTCATCTTCTAAATACGCAAAGACTTGAATAGTATTCTGATTGGTACTTGCAATACACAAGTAAGGATTTAAATTAATATATATAAAATTAAGGTAGGAAGATTGGGAATAAGTGATAAGATTAGTAAATAATCTCCATCATCGAATCTTTCATGCTACATAACTGAACTCATCCCACCTATTCTTAATTCGTAATTGAACATAGATTTGTATACTTATAATAGATATGTCAAAGCATTTTGAAATCCTGTCTCTAATAATTATTATTAATCTATACCTCAAAATCTTTGGCTGTGTTTTATTATTAAGGTTAATGAATCCAATTGTTTGATTCATTACTATATATAGATTAAACCAGGATTGTTAGGAAAACCTATTTGGTAAGTTTAAAACTTAAAATATTAATAACGTAAATCTTACCACAATTCAATTTTACTGGCAATTTAAAAAAGTATTTTTTTTAAATTATTTTAATTATTCTAATGGAGCAAACTGCTTGGAAGAATTGGATGAAATATTTAAAAATATTAAGAAGACAGCAAAATGTACTTTCAATAATTATCATAGGTGTATATTGGACAGGGCAAGGGGGAACATGCCCCCTGGATTATCCATGTCTATTATACACTTATACATAAAGTATTAAAATTATTAATTTATATTAAATATATATTAAATTTATCTTGTTTGCTAATCTTATCACTCATGGTCAAAATTTCAATGTAAAATTGAAAATAAAAAAATTTAATAGACAATATATCGTTTATACATCCTTGCTAAATGTTTAATTTAGATTTTCTTATAAACTATTTTGTACGGTTAAGAATTATTCATATGATCAAAATATTAATTAAACAATTATTATCAACTCCTAGAAAATTTAGAAAATTTGACATTCTTTCTCATTTAATATAAAATAATTTCTTATGTTTAATTTATATTTTTTATATATTAAACAATTATCTTTTGATTATTGCATTTTTAATAAATCATATACATTGCTATACTAAAAATTATTTTTTAATAATTTGATAATTACTTTAATATTAATTTTCTATTTACTATATGAGTACATGAAATAAGCTCTTGTTGTAAATTTATTTATGAATATAATTTATATACCATTGTTTTAATTTCTCATCATTTGATAATTCTGACTATGTTATATACATATTACTGTATTATTAATTAGATATAATATTTTGCATTTATCCAAGTTTTAAATATCCGTCTATATGGTCAGCTTTAAATTTGTATGATGAACATATAGAAATTCTTACATTTGGATTTTAAAACATAAAAAAAAAAATTACTTAATAAATAACCTTTTTTTCTTTTATTTTGCTGGTCACACTGATATTTCCTCGTAAAACATGACGGACTAATTTTAACATTGCTCAATACTGCTCATGTTATTTTTTTTACTATTATCCTTTTTGTTATCTTATTCTGTTCCAAAGAGTAATACTCTATGCATGCGACTGATCCTGTCAGTCTTGCCAAACTTGTCCGTTGTTTACGCGTCTTGTCGCTTGTCATATTTTTATTGGTGCTGCGGCTGTGTCGAGAGCGTGTAACTCGCTGTTGAAATTGATGATTTTGTTACCGTTTCGTTGAGACTTTATCTTATCGTATAATTATAATAATCTAAACGATTCTTGAGTTCGTGTAGGAACTTACAATTGGTCGCGGTTCATTCGCCGCTGCCATGTCGAAGTCGTCCGGGTCCAACGATTTGCGCGCAGAGTTGGCCGAACTCGTCAAACGTAAATCGGACATCGCTGTAAGTTTTCTGATCGTTTTTTCATTGCGTACCACTACTATGCTTTATAGAGAACATTTTGGAAGTCACTTTCAACTGTAGTGTGTTAAATTCTTTGATTTTATTAAACATTATTTATTTTCAGGAAACTTTAGCCAATCTTGAACGTCAAATATATGCATTTGAAGGAAGTTATTTGGAAGACACTCACTTATATGGTAATATCATTCGTGGATGGGATAGATATCTTACATCAGCCAATAAGCTTCCCAACTCCAAAAATGAACCACGTAACAGAAAATTCAAAGAAGCTGAACGTCTATTCTCTAAATCTTCTATTACTTCCATGGCTGTGAGTTTAAAAAAAAAAAAAATATAACAGTTAAAAAGTGTAAGAAGACGGCACATTAATATGTGCCGTCTTTGTATTAAGCAGGTTCACACTTAGTAAGGTTTGATGGAATTTGAAAGTTTGTTTGTATACTGAGCCAAGTTATCATGGTTTCTTATGAGCCTTTGCTATTCTTGTCACTTATCTCTTTTGACTCAGGCTTATCTACTCATGATATTCAAATGAATTAAAGCTGTACTGTGATGTAATACTGAGCTCATGGTCTGACGCAACTTTTGTATCATAAAAAGTCTATATAAACTGAGCCTTATTATGAAACCTATTTTACCAGTGTACAATATAACAAATCCGTGTCCAGTAGAACAAATTTGATGATGTTAGCTTCAATATTTGAGTGATTTGATCTATTATCAAACTTTAAGAAAGAAACACTATCTTTCATTCTAGTGGGTTTTTTCTTTTATTTTAATTTTTAAGTAAGATGCATTTTTAATTGTAATATTAACTTAAAAATTAAAATATAACCTAACCTAATCTACGAAAAGTCACAAATGTTTTTTTAATTTACCCTTTTTAACTGATTAGTTTGTTTTAATTAAAACTAACGATACAAAATTGGTTCTACTAAAAGCAAGTTTATTATATTTGTAAAACAAAAACAACACTTCAAATACACTGCAGCATACTTAACTATTAAAATTAAAATATTTTCCTTTAATTTCTATTGTTAATTTGTTAATTGTATTACTTTAAAGAATTTTTACTTATTGTAAATGTAAATCAGTAATCGAAATAAATATTATTAATATGTTGCTTATAAATTGTATTATATAACTAAATTCTAAGTTTATAAACAATTTATTTAATAAGATGAGTAAATTTCCATTTACTTTTAAGTTCATTATGTTTTTCTATATTTAATATATATAAATTATCCTTAAATTTCTTTATATTATTTTAATACTAGGTTACTATATTATATTACTATATTATGTTTAAATGTTAAACGTTTTGTCTTTTAGGCAGTTAGTGGCCTTGTAGAAGCTCAAGAAAAAGGTAATATTGTTGTTCATTTATTTTTTATTTCCTTAAAATATCACTTATAACTTACATGAATTGTATTATTGTTAGCCGAAATAAACAGTGAAACTGAGTCACAAACTGGCAATAGTGGTAGTGAAGATAACACAGCTAAGGAAAGTGGAAAAACCAATAGCTTAACAAATGGTCCAACTACTCCGAGAAACCCATTGGCATCTGCCAAACGAGCTTCTAGTACAAAGAAAGTTAAGAATCGATGATCTTCATTCAACAAACTCAATAGAGTAAGTATTATCTAAGTGTAGCGTGCACCACTTATGAAAATACATCTATAAATATGTATTTTTCAAACTTATACTTGTGTTTTCTCAATTTAAAAAAAAAATGTATGATCATTATATTTTTTTATAATTCAACAAGAACCTGATATTATTAACTTTAATTTTATGTTAATTTATTTAACTATAGATATATTGAAATATTTTCATATTAAAATACTATAAATTAATTAAATAATTAGTCATTTATGAATTTTTAATAAATAAATTTTGTTTTATTTAGGTTTTAAAACAGTTCCAGCGACCTCAATGAGAACATACGTTAAATTAATTATTTAACAATCAACGATTTTGTTAATACGCATGATACTGTAATAATATTTAGAATTAAGAAATTTATATTTAGATAATTCTAAATGACTATGAATTAAGGTTTTAAGATTGTTAACTTTTTAAGAAATAGGATACTTATTACCTTTTTTCAATTCTAATAATTACTGTAACTTCAAACAATTTAATTAAATAAAATAACATTACTTTTACAAATAGTCAAATATATTCATCATATTTTTATTTCATAAATTATCTAAAATTTTCAAAACAAAGTAGAACATTGTTAATCTGAACTAATTGGTTTGAATTAATGAAAGTTCAGAAGAATCATATTAACCCATGAAATAAGTAAGGATACATATTTAATTAAACACTGATTAAGAGAACTTGTATTTTAAAAATTTCAAAGGCTATTTTGTACATTAAATATACTGCAATATAGTACTCAGCTTTGCAGAATTAGAACATAGCAATCAATGCACACCTTGATTACAGGTGACACTTATTGGTGTTCAATTTGTCTTGGGTATTATTGTAATAAATCTAGTATTTAATATTATTTAACTGTTAAGATAGTAAGGTTATACTGTATCAAAAATTTGATGAAATACTTATTCAGACCATTTAATAGTATTTATTATGGCATAAATAGATTCTCCAGACTAATAAAATATTTTCCAAATCATACGCATAAAAAAAAAATTGTTTTTTTTTTTTTAATATTATTACTATGTATTAATATTTATATATTTTTAAGCTTGTTCAAGATAACTTTAATGGTTTATACTCTTATAAATTAGTTAAATTTATTAACTTAATAAATAATTCTGCTGTATTTGTGTGCGTCATAATAAAAATTTAATATTTAAAGTAGTTTTGGGTGTTCTATATGTAGTTTATCATAAATTATAATAATTCATGATTGAAATTAACCAATTAAGCTCTTATTCAAAATATTATTTTTTTCTATTTGTAATTATTTATGTATTTATCTTTAATACAATTAGTTACTTATGTGAATGTCAAATTAATTCACCATTATTTTGTTTAATGAATAACTAAATTTAATAATGCAAAACATAAGAACTACAATGTATAACTTATTATATGTAAAACCATTCTACATTTAGTGATTTATAATCTTAGTTCGTTCATTATAACATTGTTAATATATGCTATGGAGATAAAACCATTTAAAGATCTAATATATAATTGACACCGTAATAAGTCGTGTATTTATCTGAAAAAGTAAGTATAACTTAAAAAACTTTGGATTTAATTTATTTATTGAGGTCTTATTGTAGTATTAATGTAGTATTAAAATTTATATGAAATGAAACTATAAAAATATATTGAAAAAGAAAAATTAATAAAAAATATTAAAAGTAATCTCAAATAATGAAAAACAAATATAATTAATTTATAAATATGTTTATTATTCTTTAGGTCTCATAATTTACAAATATCACAGTGAATAATTTATGAAACTAAAATATAAATCGATTTTATATACTTAATACATAAAGTATTAGCTTACAACAATTACTTAAGTCATATTCCAATAATTATTGAACAAAAAATATAAACTTGAATAAATGAATAATAGTTTATGGAAGTATATAAAAACATTTAAAAACATTTAAATAACATAAATTACGATATAACTACATATCCAGAAGTTGATGTTGAACCATCGATAAATCTTTGATGCCAACGATTTTCTATAAAAAATTTAAATATGTTATATGGTAATTTATATGATGTAAATAAAGGAGCAATTTTTACTCCTTTATCTTAAGACAATTTATGTAATCACTACTAGATTAATTAGCAGTAATATTATGAAGACATAATTGAATTTGGATATTAATTTGCATGATTATCCTTATTTTCAATGGGTTACTTCCTCATTTATCTATGTTATAAATGAGATAACAAAATGTACACCCTTGGGAAGTCTGCTTTGTTATTTAAAATATATACTATTTCAGTTTGTGATAGGTTCCAGTTTGAGTTTGATAACCCAGTTAAATATTCAGTAATTCAAACAATAAACAATAAAAAATTGTTATTAAACAATTTGGAATATTCTTATGAGGTAATTTTGTTGAACAATTAAAAAATTTTAATACATTTTATTTTTTTTTAAGTAAGCTGGGCAAATCATGAAAAGTTATTAAAAAAAAAAAGTAATAAATCCAACCATAAAATCTAACATCATAATCTTTCTTTAATGGTGATGATAATTTAATAAATCAATTCCAATATTTAACCCAAGTTTGTGTACTACGGACCACGTTAGTTATTAATAATATAATAAATATAAAAAAAACTTACGAGACAGTAATTCATTAGTCATTTCCGGGGAAGAAATCCAATTTATAAAATAAAATAAAATTGGCAACAGGAGTATGATAAATGAAATTGTCAATAATATCCATTCAGAATCGTAGTTGGGTATATGACATTTCCATTTCAAGCTCCAGTCAGCTTGTGTTGTGTTAATCTAAATATATTAAAAATTAAATCTTCATAAATATTGTTAGTAATCAATTAGTATTATTCTTGATTTAATGATGTAGTTTCAGAAAAATTTACTATTTTAATGTATACAATATCAAACAACTTTAGTTAAATAAGTAATATAAGTTCTATAAAATGAAATAGCAATGTTTAGCCAGTACATTACTAATTACTAATAATGTTTTAATAAAAAAATATACATAATAAATACTAAGACTGAAAATAATTTTTAGTTCACTGTAGTCAATCACTCGTTGAGTTAATTAAAGGCTTAAGATATTGGTATATAACATTATCCATGGTAACCTATCTAGTAAATAATTTAAATATTAATACTATTCATTATGTTATATTATATACTTCATCTTCCTGAAAATGATAAACTTATTAGGGAAAACAAAATAACTATGAAATTACCTTCAAACATTAAAATTAAAGAACAAATATAGTATGGTAGGAGAAATATATTTTGAAATTTTTGATGTTGGTGGGGTAAAAATGTTTGGGTAATTAATTTTTAATTTTTAATTAAACTTACTAAATCAACAACATCCATGCAAAATTCTTTACTAATTTTGTTTATGTTATAGTAATTGGTTAAGTTCAGATAATCCTCTTGACAGTCAGAACAAAGTGATGAATTGTACGTTGTGCCATTCATATGATTCGATACACAAGCATCAAAAAGTTTTCCTAGTCTCATCACAGTTTTTGTCTTATCATTAAAAGCGGTACCATTCAAACACACTGTAACAATAAAATAAAATATACAGTTTAGCTTATAATTCCTATTTAGGTGTACACATAAATTAAGATCAAGACGATATACAAACGTTTGCATGACGCCTGTTCCCACATGTTTAATACATAATTATAACTTGCATACACAACTTGTAACCGATCAATATTGGTCAATACTGCTCGACAATCTACTTCACTATCATTGTGGTGTAACTAAAAATAGTAATAATAATTATACAGTAATATTGATATAAACATAACAATAGTCATTGTGAATTCATCTACGGACCCTTTGAATGTTTTCATATTGCAAGAGCACTTGATTGTACTCGTTCACACAGTGTTCGCACACTGAAATTGGTCTGGCATTGGTAAGTACACACAGCGTGAACTTGGACGTTTTGTTGGCAAACAGTTGAAGCAATTCTTCACATCCATCAGGCAGCACATCTCTGCAATACAAATGATCAATGAAAATAATTAGGTATGCAAATAAATTTCAGTCACAAATCATGAACAATAAATGAAAAACAATCGAAAATCATAAAAGATAATTTTTGTCACTCACATGGATAAGGGCGAAGTGGAAGACTGAGCAGACACCATTAACCTGAGCGACGAGTTAAGAAAATACAACCAGAGGAACAAAAAACCAACTAACTTGGACATATCGTATATGATTTAGGCTAGTATTTCTTCACAGTATACCATCACTACGAGTGATTCCTGGTTAATTTCGAGTTAACCCGTTTCCTGTGCAAAGCGCGAACAAAGGGTACAATAAGTTGAAATTTTCAGTTTTTTTTTTTTTTAAATAAAACTTCAGTGAGATTACCTACTTCGATTTACAGTGATACTGTTACATCAAAGATAACGATATCGATAAACAGATGCGAGAATCTGTGATAATCTAAAAAAAAAAAAAAAGTTATTTGTTTTTATTTTATTAATGATTTTACATAACCACTTGTTACATCTTTATATTCTATGATAAAATAAAATATACAACGTTATAATTGATTTGTCACCCCAAGAACGCAGACATTAACATAAAATTATCACAACACTATATTGCAATATATATGACCATATTCATAGATAAAGTAGAACTAAGTAGGTAATTAAGTACCTTTGATCTACGTTATTTCATATTCGTGTTCTCAATTCTGACGCTCGCAGTCGTCAAAAAATATCACATTCTGTAGCTATATATATATATATAAATGTATTTATAAAATATTGCAGAACTTTCATGGTTATGATGTATTTTGTGGTTTTTTGAATGATTTCCGTCCAATCAGCTATTATCTATCAGATAGAATAACAAATCAATAAATAAATCGATATCGAACAAATTACTGCGGCCAATTTTATGTAGCTTAGAATATAAATTTATCAGTTTAAAAAAACATACATTTTATAAAATTGAATACTTTTAAAAATTAAGAGTTTTGAATATTTTATAAAAATAGGAAAGTGAAAAACGACAGTTGATTTAAATAATTTAAAATAATTATTATTTAAGTAAAAGATAATCAAAATGAATGTTGGGTTCATTTCATATTGTGAGAAATTAAAAAAAAAATAAAAATAAAATTTGAACTGTCTATTTTAAATTACAAATGTCTTTTTCATTAATCATATCTATGCTATTTGGGAGTTGCCTTACTTCACCCCACTCTGCTACTACAATAATCTCTGTACCGTGTATCGGAGCAATTTTCGATTCTATTGTATATCTGTGTAGTCGGCACCGTCTAACGAGTTAGAGACCTTCCACATCGTCATTCATCACGTGTCCATATGCCTTCAAAGCATATTGTCATAGCTTGGAGGCACACGTTTGCATGTTTCCCGATGTACGAGGATAATCTATACCAGCGGTTCCTAAACTTTTTTTTCCGTGGTGCTTTTTTTTGGACCCAATTTAGCCACGGTACCCTGGCTGTGAATAACATTAAAGACAAAACAAAAAAAAAATCTATTGATAACCGACTTTATTAATTTTAATAAAATTTAACTTAGTTATAAATTAATGCATTTTTAAACTTAAAAAATAGATAAGTAAAAATTATTGTTATTATGATTATAATTATTATAAGGTAAAAATAAGAATATCCCATTATACAATAGAAAATATTATATTATTTTCTATAAAGTTTTTACGAAAACAATAAGGAAAACAATTTTATACATTTTAAACTATTTGTTATTAACCGTTGGTCTATACTGTAGATTCTATAGCATAAAACTAGCGCCCTGTGTGCAATGTGTTGACAATGATATCTCATAGACATCGGTCTATGATCTCAAAGCTAACGTCTACGGTATACATCTCTGATACGTCAATGAGATGATTGTAAAATTATAAAAACATACATCACAAAATCAACATCTCCTCGAGTGTAATGTTGTGATTGTGATGTCTCAGAGATATTATAAACTATAATTATAGAGATATTGGTTTACGATTTCAAAATGATAAATAAACAACATCTCAATTTACAATATCGCATTGCGGTCACATAGAACTCGCATAATATTATTGTAAATAATCTTTTTTTTTTTTTTAATATTTATTAGAATATAAACAATCTATACAAGTAAGTACAATAAGCTTATGTGCTAAGAGAATACATGGTATGAAAAATTGAGTAAGAAGCCACCCACTGGCGACACTTAGCATGAGTTATTTATATATATGTTTTGTCTTTTTTTTTTATTTTTTTTTCATAACATGTTGAGATTAAAATGAGTATATACATGCAATGAACATAGTATATTTTAAATTTATAATTGTATTAGGTCACGACACCATTTCCTTTTTAGCCTGCGCATTGGATTCCCCGGGAGGGTTAGAGAGGAGAGGTTTTTAATAAGAAGATTTTGGTGGGATAGAAGTCGTGTGCGGAAGCGCAAGTAAAATGATTGAGCTTCTTCATTGATGGTTTTTAAGTGAAAATCATTATGCAATGTTAGGTTAGAAATGTATGGTGGTGCATTGGACAGACGACGAAAAGCTAGGTTTTGGAATACTTGGATTTTATTGGTATTGGATTTTTTTGCTGAGCACCAGAGCTGTATGCCATAAGTTCGAATAGGTTTTAGGAGGGTTTTGTAAATTAGAAGTTTGATTTTCAGATTTGTTTTATTATTTCTCGTTATTAGAGGATTGAGGATGCGCATACGGGCGTTGATAGTCAGTCTTTTGGTTCATATATGATTTTTCCATGTTAGTCGTTTGTCAAGATTGAGTCCCAGGTATTTTATTGTGTTCGATGTGGGAATTGGGATTTATTTAACGTAACGGTTAGACAAATACCCTTCTTGAGAGTAAATGTAGTGTGACTTGATTTGTTTTGGTTTATTTTGATACACCATTTGTCGTTAGGTTAGACATTTGGCAGAGGTGGAGTTGTAGGTTTGATGAGGCGGCTACCGGGTTTTCACTAATTGACAAGATTACTTTATCGTCAGCATAATCAGCCACCATGGTTTGGGGCGTGGTGGGTTGATCGGTGACATATATGTTGAATAGAGTTGGAGATATATAGAATTGATATTATATTATAATCATTTATCATACAATTGCATAGTAAGAAATATTATAAAATTTACTACAAATATAAATGTATT